GCTCCTGTTCAAACCTGGTACTCTAGCCCTGGTGCTGATCCTATGAGCTACTGATAGTTATCTGTTAAGAGTTGAGTTGTGTCCCCCCTGAAATTCATATGTTGAAGTCCTAGCCCCCAGTACCTAAGAATGTGATCTTACTTGGAGATGGGGTTGTTGTGGAAGTAATTAGTTAAGATGAGGTCATACTGGAGTAGAATAGGCCTCTAATCCAAAGTGACCATTGTCCTTGTAAGAAGAGGAAATTTGGACACAGATACATACACAGAGTGCCATGTGAAGATGAAGGCAAAAATCTACAAGCCAAGGAATCCAAAGATTGCTAGCAGACCACTGGAAGCTAGGGGAGAGGCATGGAACTAATTCTCTCATGGCCTTCCAAAGGAACCAACCCTGCCAACACCCTAATTTCAGACTACTAGCCTCCAGAATTGAGACGGTTTCTGTTGCTTAAGCTAGTTTGTGGTACTTTGTTATGACAGCCCTAGCAAACTAATACAATACCCTATGTAAATTTTGTTTCCACTTAAGTTAGTTTTTGTTGTTTGCAACTAAGATCCATGACTAGTATAAGCTCTCAAGTACAAGGTATTGGCAAATCACCAGCTATGGAAGTATGTACAAATAAACAGAGGGTGTAAGGAAAGGAGTCAGAATGAACAATCTTCAAGAGTAGTACTAATTTATTGATGTCCAAGAGGGAGTGAAAAATCTACAACAGATGGGAACAAAGGGGTGGTGGTTGTGGAGGAGCCCAAGTCCTGATCAGGGTTGCCATCTGTCTGAGGCCTGGTGCAGAGATCTATAATTCCAAGGAAACTAGATGATGCTCGATGGTGCATAAGGATGGAAACAGGGTCTAAGCCAGTGAGATTAGTAGGACTATAGCAAGAGAAGTCAGACTTCCCAAGGATTCAAGGATCCAGAAAGAGAGATATGCCCAAGTGCCAGACATTCAGGAAGCTGCCATCAGAAAATATCCCTAGTATGGAAGTTAATGTTGACCTCCAGCCAGTCTAAACAAAGGACAGTAGCAGACTAGCTACAGATTGACCTGTAGGTGGGATGAAGCCCCCTCATGGCTGCAGTGCCAGATGATCTTTTAGGTGGCTGGCATCAAGGTTTTTGTTTTGTTCCTGCTTTTAATAACAATGCTTCTGCTTTGTATGAAAGGTAAAGCCAGCTCTGTTTTAAAATAGCTCTGTATTTTGTTATTGTAATATATTTCTATTTCCCCCCTCCCGCTTTTTTAAATGAGAAATACCTAGTGAATTTTATCAAAGGCTGTTTCAGCATCTGTTGAACTCATTGTATTTTTCATTATTTAATCCAGTGATGTAGGTGGTATTACTAATACTTGCCTTTGTGTCAAACACTTCAATCATTCTTAGGATAAAGGGTCTTTGGTCATGGTGTAATGTTTCCCATAACATATTAATGAAAACCATTTTATGTATATAATTTTTTCTTTCTAAAAATTGAATTTATTTAAACAAAAACAGTTTATCCCTTTTCCTGACCTCCACTCCCTGCCTCTGGCAGCCACCAATCCTTTCTCTGTATCTGTGAGCTTGATCATTGATTGACTGATTCACATATAAGAGTGATCAGATGATATTTGTCTTTCTCTGATTTATTTCACTTAGCATAATGCTCTTGATAAAATGTCTTATATATTTTAATGTAAGATTTGTGGATGGCTTATATCTATAGGTGATTATTTCCTAGAGCAGTGCTGCTTACACTTTTTCTTATTATTTCCCATCGAAGGAGAACTTTCAAGCGTTTTTTTTCTTAACTGTGCCTCCATGTAATTTCAGTGCCACAGATATGCTATATATCAGCATATCTACTATATATATTCTACGTATATCTGCACTTTCTACATAAAAAAGAGGAAGTTTTTTTAGCCCCCTCAAGAGCCAAATGGCTCCATTGGGATGCGTGGCGCTATTACTGCACTGAAAACACATGGCCACACAAGCCTATTCTTTATTTGTGTGTTATATTTATTAGATTTCAGGACCAAGCCGTAGGGAGGTTTACATCTTGGAATGAACTATGCAAAAGGCCTTATTTTTCAAGGTTCAGAAACAAGGCATAGCAGAGATGCTTTAAGGCCATTCAATACATTTTAGTAAAGACCAAGTGTGTTCATCAGCTCCTCTCTGACCATCCTATTAAAACAGACCAAGAATTACATTGTCTTTGTCAGCACTAACAAAAATCAGTCTCAGACCTTTCCAGTTCCAGCTTAGTCCATCCCTAAGAGCTTTCACCAAGCAAGACATCATCAAGTGTAGCCCACGATCCCTTTCTTCACAGCATCAATCATAGACAGGCCCTTCAGCATATGACTCAGAATATCTGTAACAGTTTTGCAAGGGCAGCTTATAAGACAGGAGAGAAGACCAAAGGGCAAGGGCCTAAAAAGTCACTAGATCCCTAAAGCGGAATGTATTGCACATACAGCCTTAGCAGGAGAGCATGACCACCAGGGAGAGAGCAAGACGCCATTGAGGCAGCTCCTTGTCAAACCAAGAAAGTAAAGCCAAGGACTGACAGTACAGTAGTTGGGTTTAAATTGAAGGAAAAGAAGTGGAGAGCAGAGGTTGGAGTGACAAGCTGAGCTGTAGATTGGGATACAGCAATGTGTGCATAAGGATGAGAGTCTGAGGCTTTGTTCTTGAAGGTTTATTTTGCCCCCACACATGACTCTTTTGGATCTTCAGCCTTGTCTTAAAGAGACAGAACTTCTGTTTGCCACTTTTCCAGGTAGGTAATGAGCCTTTGAAAGTTTAAGAGGGTTTAGCATTCACCCATATTGTGGTGGATGCACCGAAGGCGATTTCCAATGAGTAATGCTTCTAGATAATCAATCCTCTCCCATTAAATGCCAGTGGAACCTCTGATTTGCTTCTAACCAATATGCCATGGCTAAGGTGATGAGATATCAGTATTTGATCACATTCATCATAAAGACTGTCTAAGCAGACTGGAAAGATTTTCTTGCCTTGAAGAAGCAAATTGCCATGTTGTGAACTACCTATGGAGAGGGCCACATGGGAAGGAACTGCAGGTGGCCGTAGGACCTGAGGATAGCCAACAGTCAGTGAGAAGCAGGGCCCTCAGTCATACAGCCACTAGGAAATGAATTCTGCCAACAACCAATGAGCTTGGAAGTCGATTTTTCCTCAGTCAGGCCTCCATATGAGAACATGGTACAGTCAACACCTTGAGTGTCACCTGGGAAACTCTGAGCCATGGGCCCAGCTAATGCACCCAGACTTCTGAGCCAGGAAAACTATAAGATAATAAATCTGTGTTGATTTAGGCCAGTGAGTTTGTGGTAATTACACAGCAATAAAAAACGAACACATGTATATATGTACCTGGACATTTCTAGTTGAATAACTTTCCATATGTTTTCCCCCTTCTCAAGTTATTATTTTAATATATATTAGATTAAGTTTGGAGTTTTATATTATAAAAAAGTTCTTCTTTTCATTTGTATGTTCACATATTATTAGCATATATTTTTATGTTCTAATTTATATTTTAAAAAGTTTTTAAAGATTTTATTTAAGAAAGAGTGAGAATGAGAGAGCACAAGTAGGGGGAGCAGCAGAGGGAGAGGCAAAGGGCATTTCAAATGTTATTGAATTATAGTTTTAAACACTTGGCTTTTGGTTTTATTTATTGAGCCCATTGAAATTATTTTTCATTTTCAAAATTATTTCCTTCTGTTTTTATCATACTTTTTTCCCTTTTTTGGGAGCAGGGAGAGGGGCAGAGAGGGAAGGAGATGGAAAGGGAGAGAATCCCAAGTAGATTCTGCACTAGGCACAGAGCTGGTGAGGTGGGGTGCTATGTCGGGGCCCGAGTGGAGGCCCAGTGCAAGGGCTCGATCCCACGACCCTGAGACCATGACCTGAGCCGAAACTAAGAGTCAGACACTTAACTGACTGAACCACCGAGAGGCCCCTATTTTTTTCCTTTTTAGTTCGGCCTATCTTCCTATTCCTTTCTAATATCTTCAGTTGAATTATTTATAAAATGTTCTCTTTTTATCAACCACCAAAAAAGAGAGCACTTTAAATCATAAAATTTCCTGAAAGTACTGCTTTGAACACATTCCACAGGGATTACTGTGGTATATTTTAATCATTATTGTCTTCTGAATAAACTCCTTTGGTGTTCTTGAGTTCCTTTCCGATTCAGTTGTTGATTCAGTAAGAATTTTTAAATATCCAAGTAGTTGGCTTCTTTTTATTTGTTTTGCTTGTTGCTTTATATTTCATTTTATTGTGGCCAGAGAACTTAGCTTGTATCATTTCTGATCTTTTTGAACTAGCTGAGATGATGTTTGTGGCCTGGTAGATGTGATATAGGAGACCATGTGGACAATTGCTGTGGACAGTTGGAAATCATATATAGTACAAGTTATCCACTAACTCTATTTCAAAATACTTTTTCTCAGCTGGGACAGCCTTAAGGTCCAAACTAAGGGTTGCGGAACATCCATGAGTGCAGTTACTAGGGGGGCACTGGTTCCACGCAGAGCTAAGAAGGACAGCACTCAAACAACTTACAAGTTTCTGAAATAGTTAAGGTAATAGCTGGCATGACAGGCCAGAGATCCGGAGAAACAGTGTGTCACCTGCACAACAAGGCAGGCATCCAACTGTAAGCAAGCAGAGAAGTCAAAGAGGGAACAGAGAGAGAGATATGGATCTCACCGAAAATCCTGATACTATGTAGGATTTGGGTTGGCTGCGTACAGCAGAAAATTCTAATAATAGTAACTTACATAGCTAAGGATTCTCTTTCTAAGACATCTGACAGCCCAGGGCTGGAATAGTGGCTTCACAGAGTCCTTGGGCACCCACATTCCTTCTCTCTTTCTTCTCTACCAGTCTCAGAATTGACTGTTGGAGCTCAGCCACCATATCTGCATTCCTGGAACAGGAATACAAAGAGGGAAAGGACAAAAAGCTCACCTTCCAGTTGAATCAACTCCCTGCGGAAGTCTTTCTGCAAGCTTCACATTTCCATTTCCATTCTTTGGCTGTAGGTCACATGACGAGTCCTAACTGCAAGAAAAGCTAGGAAATGTCATCCTTTAGCTGGGTGTATTAGTACCCTGAACGAATCAAAGTCATCTGTTCCTAAGGGAGAAGGGGAGACTAGATAGTGGGTGGGCAGCTAGCAGAATCTGCCACGTTCCCCAAGGTGGAAACTATGCCTGGTCTACCCGGACTTCCCCAATTCCAGGCACACGGTGGGCCTTTCGTAAATATGTATTGACTTAGACTGGAGTGCTTTAGAAAGTTAAGTCTGAATTCATTTTAAATAGAGTAGGCCCAGCTCCTGAGTAGACATGCATACCGACTACTATTAACTGAGCTCAAACTCTGTGCCAGGCAGTGGGCGGGGGCAACCAATAGAACCTTTGCAACAGTCCCTTGCATACTCTGGAAATGCAAGGCTTGGAATGTTGAGTAAACTTTCCCAGAGTCCTACAGGGAGCAAGTGGTAGAGCTAGGGCTAGACGAGGTGTTTCTGGTTTTATATTCGGAATGTCTCCACTGTACTGTCTTTCCTTATTTGCTTTTTGCTGGTTGCCTTAGCTCATGTTGCTATAATAAAATACCATAGACTGGGTGGTTTGAACAGCAGACATTTAATTCTCACAGATCTGGAGGCTGGGAAGTCCAAGATGAAGATGGCAGCAGATTCGGTGTCTGGTGAGGACCGCTTTCCACCTTGCAGACACAGCTCACTGTGTGCCCACATGGCCTTTCCTCAAGTGCTCATGGAAAGAGAGCTCACTCTCTTCCTCTTTTTAGAAGGGCACTAATCCCAACCTGAGGATTCCACTCTCATGATCTCACCTAAACCCAATAACCTCCCAAAGGCCTCACCTCCAAATACCATCCGACGGGGGGGCTAGAGCTTCAGCATATGAATTTTGGGGTGGGGAGACACAAACATTCAAACTGTTCGTTGATATGTGTAGGACAGATGCTACTTGATATGTAATCTGATATACATTTTCTACATTTTCCTTACTAAGATAACTAATTTTGTTCAGGATGGCAATGCACCCAGGTAAAAATACTACCTCACCTGCAGCCGGAAGTGGCCATGGGACCGAGGTGAGGCCCAGTGAGCTGTAAGAGAGGCTATTGGGTGGAGTTTCCAGAAAAGCTGTTGCTTTCCTAATTAAGAGAGATTAGTTCGGCTGGCACATGACTTTGACCTTCAGTCCTTCCCCTTTTTCCTGCCTGGAAGGCAGAATCAATGGCTGGAGGCACAGGGGCCATCTTACATACTGAGGTTGTAAAGGAGGAGAAAAAAACCTTTTTCTTCCTTCTACTTCCTAGGTTCTCCAGCTGGGGCACGGTAAATTTGACAAAAGACAGAGTCACAAGAGAAAACCATCAGACGTTTATGAGCATGTGCATCGTGCATACATACGGGAGTACTCAGAGATGCGTATTTCAAAGTAGTTACAACTTGGTCTTTATAACATCTCAAGAAAAGAACAATAAATTTTTAGAGAAGTGACAAGAGGAAGGAAGAAGACTGAGTTTCTAGGGCAGCAAACTGTGTGAAGGTAAACATATGAGGGAAAGTAATGGAAGATAAGGGCTAGTCAGTAAGGTCGTTACATAGATTCCTCTGGTGCTGTCTCTAGGCGGGTTAGGGTTTAAGCTGTCTCCAGTGATTAACTTCTGTCCTTGTGGTAGAGGGGACACCTTTGCAAATTTAGGTCCTGGTTTTAGGCAAGTAGGGGGAGGGCAGAGGACTTTTCTTGTATTTACTTCTCAATTGCCTTTAGCTCAAAATAATCTTTATGCCAGAGTGGCGTATTCTGCTACACTTCAAGGTCAAGAACAGCTCACCGCTGTAGCAAAGCATGAAGTTAGGAGGAGCCTGGATACTTGATCACTTCCACCGCCTCTGCATTGGCCCTGGAGGCCTTGTGCCAGACTTCTTGTTACTTGGGGAAAATATTCCATTCGATTCAGCGGCCATGTTTACATTTCTGTTGTGCAACTGAATTCAAGCCTAGCTGAGGGTGGAACAGCAAGATCTCTTACTACAATTGTGTTTTCCGGAATGAAATTTCCTTGTTTTTATGCCCATTTTTGCTTTACTTATTTTGCAACAATATATTGGGGTCCTATGGTGCTCAAAGCCCCTAATACTTTATTACTATTATTTTTCTTAAAGATTTTATTTATTTATTTGACAGCAAGAGAGAGACAGCAAGAGAGGGAACATAAGCAGGGGGAATGGGAGAGGGAGAAGCAGACTTGCCGCTGAGCGAGCAGGGAACCCGATGCGGGGCTTGATCCCAGGACCCTGGGATCATGACCTGAGCTGAAGGCAGATGCTTAACGACTGAGCCACCCAGGGGCCCCAACACTTTGTTATTGAACATATCCTTTCCATTCTATGATGATCTTTCTCATTCTTTTGAATACTTCTTGCTTTTATTTGGTAGGCAGTGAAAAGCAAAAAAAAAAAAAATTTCTTAGAGAGAGTTAAAAGTTCTGAGTGTTGTTAGGACTAAATACAGAAAAGAAAGTGTTTTTTGTTTGTTTTTCTTATTATCTGTCTTTAGAAATTATAATTGAATGAAGAAATAAATGAATGGATAGCCAACTAGCCAGATTTCCATTTTAACAGAATAACTAAACTAGTAGATACAGAGTATAGCAAATTACAATGTATCATGTTTTAGCAAGAGATGGGACAGACATTATTCTCTGGACTAGATGGTGGAATGTAAACCATATGATCATGTAGTTTCATGCATATTCGGCTGATTTCCTAGATAGATCTGGAGATTGTGGATTTCTGGGAGACAAAACTTAACTTCACGTCTTTATCTACCCGTGATGCATGAACTTCCTACGCTCCTGGATCCAAACATAATGTGCCACAAATATTAAGACATTTAATAACTGGCCTTTGAGAGAAATCAGTTACTATAAGGAAAGGACCTGTTATACATACACTTAAAGTACACCATAAAGCACTCTAAAGAATGGTCAAAACAAGCATCAGTCAACTAGCTTAAGAAATTAGCCATAAAGGGGGCACCTGGGTGGCTCAGTTGGTTAAGTGTCTGACTCTTGGTTTCGGCTCAGGTCATGATCTCATGATCGTGGGACTGAGCCCCACAACGGGCTCTGTGCTCAGCATGGAGTCCACTTCAGATTCTATCTCCCTCACTCTCAAATAAATAAATAAAATCTTTTAAAAAATTAACCATAAAGGAATGGAATTTTCACCTTATTTCTTTTTTTCCCAGTTTTATTGAGAAATAATTGACACACATCACTATAAGCTTAAAGTGTACAGCATGATGGTTTGATTTACATATATTGTGAAATGATTGCCACAATGGGTTCAGCTAATATCCCTCCTCCTCTGTAAATACAGTAAAAAGAAAATAAAAGGAAAAAAAAAGGAAAACAATTTTCTCTTGGTGATGAGAACTCTTAGGATTTACCCTCTTAACAACTTTCTTACATGTCTTACAGCAGTATTATAGCTCTAGTCATCGTGTTGTACATTACATCCTAGTGCTTATTTCTCTAATGACTGGAAGTTTGTACCTTTTAACCACCTTCCTCCAATTCCCCCGCCCCCACATCCCACCTCTGGTATCTACAGGTCTGATCTCACTTTCTATAAGTTTGACTTTTTTTTTCATTAAGTTAATTGCCCATTACTGCTGAAAAAAAAATGACTTACCATACATCCTTACTTGCAAGGTACAAATAAACAAGAGACATAATGGAAAAGAGGCAAGGAAATATAAAAATTGAAACAAAATATGAACCCAGGAAATGACTAAACATAATGGTAAATGAATGTAGTCATAATTCTTCTACTAAAAACAAGAGCCTCAGTTCAGATTGAAAAATACAATCCATTAGTAAATTAATTATGAAGCGCACTCAAATGTTTCTTAAAAAGACAAAATCCAGAAAGTTAGATAAATATTTCCATCAAAATCAAACAGAAGGAAAGGAGAATTTCCAGAATCAATAGTGGTCTCTGAGTGTTCTTCTCCTCTGTCCAGTTCTCTCACAGGAAAGAGACCACTGCCCCCAAATGGGCTCGGCTCTGAGGTGTGTTCCCCAGAGGCTCCCATGTGTGGTGGGTACAAATCTCAGTCTGCAAACTCAAGTGTCAAAGAAACCTAAACTTCAGGGCGCCTGGGTGACTCAGTCGTTAAGCGTCTGCCTTCGGCTCGGGTCGTGATCCCAGGATCCTCGGATCGAGTCCCGCATCGCGCTCCCTGCTCCGCGGGAAGCCTGCTTCTCCCTCTCCCACTTCCCCTGCTTGTGTTCCTGCTCTCGCTGTCTCTCTCTGTCAAATAAATAAATAAAATCTTAAAAAAAAAAAAAAGAAACCTAAACTTCTCTGTTTTCCTTACTACAACTGGACTTACAATACAGGCTCCCGTTCCAATCAAGGAATCCTGATCTTCAAACTAGCCATTTGGAATTTGCCCCCTTTTCCCTGGGTTGTCTAGTTCTGGAGGACTTCCCATGGCATGGGGGTGGAGCAGGGCAGATTCTCCTTCGTTGCTGTGGAGATGCAAGGTCCCTCAGGACGGGGCATCTCTCTACCTCTGTGCTGCGTTTGAGTACTGGCAAAATCCCTCCGCCAGGCCTCAACAAGCTGCACACCCTCCTCCCTTCTCTGGAGTTTTGCTACCTCTCTGAATGGGATTCTTTCTGGAAAGTGAGGCACAGGGCCTGCTGCTCGCAGATCCTCCACGTTCATTTGGGATGTTGCTCTTTCCTTGAGGCCTGGCTCAGCACAGAGATCCCTGAATCCTTTCATCCGTGATCACTAACATCTGAGCCTAAGGAGGCAAATTAGTAGCACACAGGTCAAATCCAGTCCAGCAGGTATTTTCTCTGGCTCAGACAGTATTTAAAGATTCTTTTGAAAAGATTATGAACATTTTTTTTTTGAGGTAGAGCTTTAGCTTTTAGATCCAACTACCAGTTAATAGGAAATGCAGAAAACAGAGAAGCATGTTAAATGACCCCAGCAAAACCCAGACTGTAGGAAATTGTATGACAAAAGACTTGGTTTCTTTAACAAATACACTGCAAGGGACAGAAAGCTGAGGATCAAACCTGTAGATGAAAAGAAACTTAAAAACACCAATCACTTGCAATGCATATACTTTGGATCCTGTTTCAAACAAACTGTAAAAAATAAAGTAATAGAAAATAAACATTTATGACCTTCCTGAGAAAATTGTGAATTTTCACACTGACAGGCTATTGTCTGATGTGAAATTGTTGGGGTTTTGTTTAGTTATGATATTGTGTTATAGTTAGAAACATGAGTCCTTATCTATACAAAGAAAACGGTGTGTCTAGGATTTACTGCAAAATAATTGAAGATGGGGGAAGTGGGTGGGGTTATAGATGAAACAAAATTGGCCATTATGGAAACTTGGTGATAAGTACAAGGAAGGTCATTAAACTAATTTGTTTATTTTTGAATATGTTTGAAGTTTTCCATAGTAACATTTTTTTAAGGGGAGCTTCCACATGAAAAAATCTGGTTTTGGATTCTCTTGAAAAAATGGAAAGATCTGCCATATTGCAGCCAGAGTTGAGAAGTGTTAGAGGAAGGTGGCATCCAGGAAAACACAGTCCCTGCCACTCCCCATTGACCTTAAACCTGGCTCACTTGCTGTGTTTATGATACCTGACTCAGCCGTCAGTGTTCTGATCCACAACCCAACCCGTAGGAACTTTCCTTCCAACACTCTCCTCACCCAGCGCACTCCCTGTTGTTCGGTGGGGCTGGGCCAAAGGGGGTGCCTGTTTTTTCTCTCCTTTTCATGATGTTTTTCCCTGAAATCCCTTTTCTGTGTTATGAATCCTTTTTGGTCCTCCACTGAGTCTAGGATTTTGAAACTCCAAAGCCAGAAGGAAACACTCGTCCCTCCTCCCCATCTTCTGCTTTTGGTCAGAAGCAGAAGTGAGACGCGGGGAGTGAGAACCTGACACTGAATGGGGAAACAGATGTGGATGGAAAGGAAAAATTGGGGAAATTTTGGTTACAATGTAGATATGGGTCTTATATATATCAGATTGGCAAATATTAAAAGGTTGGATAATATCAAGTGCTGCCAAAGGTAAAGGAAAACAAAGTCTCATGGGAATGTTAACTGGTATAACTTTCTGGGAAGTGGTTTGGAACTGTTAAGTGAAACAATATAGGTAGATCCTAGAACCCGGCTCTCCTGGAGCCTGAGCCCAGAGAAACTCTTGCCCAAGGCCCCACAGAAACACATGTGAATATGTTCTTATAGAATCATTTGTAATAGTGAGGATTTGGGAACACCTAGAAATTTATTAATAGGAAAGCAGATAAATAAAATGTTATATGAAATGATGAGTACTATTCAACAGATAAAAGAAATGCTCTGTTCCATGTTTACTCATATCAACTTGGAGCCATCTCAAAATCTCATCTTGACTGAACATATATGATATATATATATATGTTATATATATCTAAAGACTTCTTCAGTGTATTTTAAAAAAATACACACAAAATAATACCAGTACTGGGTCTGGATACAATAGTAAAATGGATAGGCAGGACACAGATGACAGCAATGGTAAGAGGAGAAAAATGAAGCTGGGGATGGGACAAAGGGGAGGAAAAAAAGTAAAATAAAAGTGAGCCCTGCATATGCTAATAAAGATGGTGTGCCTTGAACCAAGGAGTATGGCTAATTCATTCTCAGCACATGGTGTTTCAGCAAACAGAAAACCAAACCAAACCAAAACAAAACACCAGTTAATATTTAAAATATTAACCTGATGCATGTGGAAAGAGCATGTGAGGGAGTGTTATTCATATAACTGGAATGTGCCCAGGGGAAGTAGAGAGAGCTATCACTGAGGGGTCTAGGTAGAGTGGGGCCAGAGAGTGGCCTTGGGCTACTCCAGGGGACGTCAGGTGTCCCCAAACCTTCAGTCCCCTGTGATTCTCTCCAACAGCTGATCTCATTCTGGGGTCACCCTGTTATGGCCTCGAGTCGCTTAATCACAGACATTCACCTCCTGGAAGCACGGCTGGCTGCTCTCAGAGAATCTGGTGGGTCACCAGGGATTGTCACCATGAGGTGCTTTCCACCTGTGGATAGTCTCAAGCTCCTCCAGTAAAGTCAAGATAACCCTGGGAACAAACACTCCTGCAGCTCCTCCCTCTTTGCAAGCCTTCAATACTGAAAGCTATTTCTCAAACACCGTATTGTATGATAGAGATTAGAACTGTCCAGCTTACCTTGGTTGGGCTGTGGAGGGACAGAGGAGAGTGGTGCTGGCCAATAGTTCTGATACTGCTTGAAGCCCCACTCTTGGGAATGAAGGGGAGGAGGAAAGATGATGCATTATTGCTAGCTCCTGAGCCCATCCTCCTTCTCTCTCTTCCTCTTGCCCACCCTCCTTTCCTTTTACAAACCTATATTCAGTATGAATATGCATGAGGCACTGTGCTAGGCACCATATGATATGAATCTGACATTGTTTCCTGCCCTCGAGAAGATTCAAGTCTAGTGGGGAGCAAGCAGTGAGTGGGGTCAAGCATGGTAGAGATCTGTGGGAGGTAAGGATGCTTTGAGACCACAGAGGAGGACAGCTACATCAGATGAGAGGGTATCAGGAATGGCTTATTGCAGACAGTGCTCCTTGAGCTGAGTCTGAAAGGAGAAATGGAGTTAACAAGAAGGGGAAGATTGGGGGAAGGGTGTTCCTGCTGGAGGGAAGAGCATATGCAATAGCTGGGAGGCATGAAACAGCAGGAACCAGTGGGAAACTATCAGTAGTTCCCCATATCTGGACTTGGAACTCAGGAAGGGTCTCGGGTGATAGGACTTAACTCATGTCCTATCTCCTCCCTGAAGTCTGCAGAACTGCCTCAGCCCCATCATGTCCCCTCCTCTATAATCTTGGGCCAACATCTTATAATTAAAAAATTGCATGTTTCCTTATTATTATTATCATCATCGCCATCATCATTATTATTTTCATGTGAAGGCTTTATTTCCCAGTCTTGACTCAGAGAGGGGCCCATGAGTCCTGTGTTTCTCCCACCCAGTGTCTTGCATGTAGTCTTTGCTCCACTATGGGGATGACTCGTGACCCAGTTCTGAGTGGGGATGCCTTTCAGTGAGGAGGCAGAGTAAGGCAGGGGGTAGCAGCACCAAATCCCACCCCAGTGAACTGGATTTTCATCTGAGAGGCTTCTGTAGGGGTGTACCTAAGCTGGGCTGACATCTGGGCCAGTGCCCAGATGAACCTTCTTCTGGGGCAGTGGGGTAGATGGCCTCTAAGATGGTGCCCAGTGATCCCCATCTCCTGGTTGTCATGGCCTTGTGGGTGGGTGTAGTGTCCCACATTGCATCAGGGCTGATCTGTATGATCATCAGAACACAATGGAAGTGACAGTACGTGCCTTTAAGCCCAGCTCAATAAAGACATTATACTTCTGCATTCCTTTCTGTCTTGGGCTGCTCACTCTGGAGGAAGCTAGTGCCATGTCATAAAGACACACAAGCAGCCCTATCACAGGTTCATGCAGTGAGTAACTGAGGTCTCCTGCCAACAGCCATGAGAGGAGGCATCTTAGATGCAGATCCTACAGCCCCAGCCAAGCCTTCAGATGACAGCAGCCCCACTTGACATATTGATCACAACCTCCTGAGAGACCTTGTGCCAGAAGCACCCAGCTAAGCTGCTTCCAAGTTCCTGACTCTTGGATACTGTTAGAGATGATAAACGTTTATTGTTTAAGCCATGATGTTTTGGGTAATTTGTTGCCTAGTGGTAGATAACACAGTGCAGTTGGCAATTTTGAGTGGCTTTTCCTGCTTGTGTTTGGGGAGGCTTCCTGACTAGGGTTTTGCCTCCTCTGATAGGCAGAAGCCTCAGGGCTCCCAAAAGTCCATGTCCACTCACCCTGATTCCTTCCCTCACTCCTTCTCCCTCCCCAGGTACTTCCCTTGAAGGGCCCAATAACTCAACAGCTGATGCACAGAAACCTCATCTGGACTTTCCCTTATCTGACTAGCATAGAGCTTTCGGAGAACCAGCTACCATCCTCAAGCCCCTAGGGAGGCCTCAGTCAGGGAGGCACTGATGGGGCACTGGGACATTCCCAAAGAAATTGGTGTAAGCCAGCCTCATCAGAACCTTCCATCCTTTGAAGCTCTAGCCCCCTCCCCCCTTTTGTTAAATTGGTATATACACACTTACCTCTGGTTTTTCAGTGAGTTACCCATTACTCGGTGCTCCTGCACTCAGTGTGTGTGCACACATCATCTTTTCTCCTATTAATCTGCTCCCTACTCTCACGCCTCAAACCTAAGTTGGTAGAGGAAAAGGTTTTCCTCGCAACACTCTCAAATCAAAGAAATCCCCAGGGGCTGTCAAATGGGAAGTTTTGAAGCCCTCCACACTGAGTTTTTGGTCTGGTCAAAGGAACTTAACTTTAAGAGCAACCACCTCTGTAGGGGGGGATGCCCCAGGGATTCACAACCCCTTCAGCCCTGGTGCAGATGGCCAGGTGGCAAAGAAACGCACCTGCTGGGCCTGACGTCACAGCAGGGGCAACTTCTGACTTAGAGAGGCCCCTGTCTCCTGGTCTGTAGCGGCTTTCTTTTGGGTTTTGGACTTATTTAACAAACACTGAGAACTTGCCATGTGCCAGATTCTGTTCTAAGTACTTTACAAATATTAAGTCATTTAATCCTCCTAATGACCCTGTGAGGTAAATGCTCTTGTTGTTGTCATTTTACAGATACGGATCCTAAGGCCCAGAGATGTTGAGCAATTTGCCCAAGGTCACACGGTGAGTGAGTAGCAGAGTAGGGAGTCACACTCAGGTGGTGCTCAGCCCGAAGATGAGAACTGACCCAATGTCTATTCAGTGAGCATTCTGGGCCTCTGGGGTACTTTTGCTTGGCCAGAGCTCCTGGGGCTGGACAGGGTTATGTATCTGAGTTCTCGCTGTGGGCAATCCAGACGTACACATCCAAGCAGGGAACTGTGTCCTGAATAAGCCAGGCCCATTCTTACTAGGGAAAACCATGCGATGTTCATCTTCCAAGGCTAACCTCTGACCTCAAGCCTGGAGGTCAGCCTGAGCACTGTCTTGGGCAGGTCAGTCTCTCCTCTGCTTGTGCTCCTTCCTGCCTCATCACGTTAGCTCCACCGGGTACCTGCGGGGAGGTCTCCACACTTGCCCATCTGCCTAGACCAGTGGTTCTCAACCAAGGGCAATTTTGCCTCCCAGGGGACATGTGGTGATGTCTAAGACATTTCTGATTGTCACGACTAGAAGGCTACTGCTGGCACCTAGAGAGAAGAGGCCTGAGATGCTGCTAAACATTCTAAAATGGATAGGATGACACCTCACTACAGAGGATTACCTCGACCAAAATGTCAATAGTGCAGAGGTTGAGAAACTGACCTGGGCCCATCTCACAATATCCTTAAGGCTGAAGAACCCCGCCCCTGCATACAGACATACAACGATCTGATTCCTGTTACGGTGGGGTAGTCTGGGCCCCCCCTGGGGCTCCGTGCATCCTCACTTCATCTCTTAGAGGCCACAGCAGAACATGAAAGATACAGTTTGTATAGCTGCTACAAGTTCTTGAAGATAAAATACAGATTTTGAGGTATTGACAAATGTAGCTGACATTATTTTGTACCAGGCTCTGTGCTAGGCATTTTATATATTTTGTCTTCTGTAATTCTCCTAAGCCAGTCTTAGAGGCAATTATCATCCCTGTTTCACAGACTGGGAAACTGAGGCTTGACAAGGTTAAGTAACTTGCCCAAGGTCACACAACTAATAAGTGACAGGGCCAGGTTGGTAGCCTGCCCAGGCAGTCTGAATCTAGCACTGATCTACATACGGAGGCAAAGATGAGGTAAGTTTCCAAGGAGAGCCCACCCGATGCCCACCTGAGAGCCCACCTGATGCCTCCCTGGGGACAGAGGGATCAGCCCCCACTGACTCCACAGCAGGGCTGCAGCCAAGACTCTCAGAGCCAGGTGGAGTAGCTGGACCTGCGGTGGCTCTTAAAGAGGAAAGAGCAGGAGTAGAGAGAAGGGAGAGGCGGGTTGGTTTTTGTACTGGGACAGTTAAGAAAGGACCAGCAAGAAAGAGATGGGTAAGGAAGGAGGCCTGGGAGCTATTTATTATTTATTATAGCAAGGGAAAGAATGGGAGGTTTGTTTCTAAGCTATAAATACCCTCCTTTGATCCCTGTGCATATCAGGGATAAATGAGTCACTTAGACCTCAGAAATTAACGATTGTCCTAATTATTACCTCAAATGACCTTCTGGCATTCGTAATTCTGATCACTCCCTGCAAAGGAGCTGTGTCAGAGTTCAGCCAGGTTTGGGGGAGGAGGCAGGACTGGTGTGGGTGAGTTTCTGCGGTGACAGTCTCAGTTTGCAGAGTTGAGATCGGCCTCAGCTCTTAAGGCCAGAGAACAGTTAAAGCCAGACCCCAACTTGGGGGGCCCTGCCCTTCTTGTGTTCGCCTTCAGGGCCCTGGCAAATCCTGAGTCTGCTGAGGCTAAGTGGGGACAGTCTGGAGGTGTTCGAAGCGTCAGGCCCAGCTCAAAGCAAGAGGGCGGTTCCTGCAAAGCTGACATCCACCTTCCGCAGGCCCCTTCCCATTCAGATTCCCGGAAGAGCTTTGAAGTTTCCTCTGTGTTTTCAGAGCCCTGATCCTACTGTACTGGAATTAGCCCGCAGCCCTGCCCCATCCCTGGGGATTGATTCCCCAACTGCAAAAATCTTAGAAAAATACTGCAAGCTCCACCCACCATCCCCAGGCCACTGGCTGCTTTGTCCTTAGGCTAAAATAACAAAGGAGACCTCAGAACCCTCACTAGGGGACATTCTCTCTGCGTTTATAGTTTCTCTGGAGACATTCCGGTGATGACCTCTGGGACCGGATCTGAGGGCAGGAGCTTCCAAGATGTGTGTGTGTGTGTGTGTGTGTGTGTGTTGGGGGGGGGCAGTTGCTGGGGAGAAAGCTGTATGGGTCAGAGTGAGTGAACAAGATTTGACTCTGAAGGCCTCCTAAGGTGCAGGCAGGGTCCAGGGCAGTTACAGCAGGATCCAGAGTGCCTTTCCCATCATGGCCAATGAGCCAAGCACTGCACTTCCCGTAGCCAAGTATCAGCCTCAGGGGATCCTTGTTGTCCCCAGCTTCGCACAAGGTCATCTGCTATCGTCTTGCTCAAGGCCACCAGAGAGTCATGAAGTTAGGATTAAAGAAGAAGGTTGGGGGAGGGGAGAGGAGGAGGGAAGAAGAGGTGGGAGGGAAGAAGGAAGACCCAAGACAGACAGATGGACCGAGACGGAGGAAGAGAGGGAGGA